CAGTGAAATGAATAGTGATTTTCAAACTTGGATGGTCCACTTAGGTGAGTGATAACTGGGTGTTGGAAATGAATATTAGGATCTGCAGAGATTCATAGCCCAAGAGAAGTAGACTATGGGAATGTTATACATGCTTTGCAAACATCCCAGCAATGTGACTTAAGCTAGATAATAATCTAAATTACACAGTACTATAGTTTAAGCATTAAGATTTAAAAAACATTCTAATCTCCACCTTTGTAGAAGCATTTTATTTCTCTCTGAAGGTTCATTATATATATATATATATATATATATATATATATATATATATATATTATGATGAGAAACACATTGATGAATAATGAGAAAAATATCTGAAAATGTTCTTTACTGTAATTTACCCATTGATAAAATGTGGATAAGCAATATTATTGAGTGAGACAATATGATGTCTTGAATACAATAAGTTTCATAACATATAAAATAGCAAATAAAATATAGTAGTCATAAATATATATTTCCCTAAAGTGCCTATTTTTATATTATTGATCAGTTTTTTAACTTAAAACAAATCCAAAGAATAGTAATATGCTAGAGCCAATTGACAATGCAGTTGCTGATTTGGGCTCAATGTCTTCATTTAAGACACACTACTGTGTGCATTGCTCTGTTGTGATAAAAAAACAAAAACAAAAACTAGAGACTTACTTCAAACTGCATTTGTGAATAAGATTTTTTGGCACCCGAGAGATAGTTGGGCTGACATGAAGACTTGTACAAAAGCATGGGAACCTATGTTCAAATTTCCAACCCACGTAAAAAGCCATGTGTGGATCTGCAACTGTCTGTAAGTCCAGCCCTATGGGTGTGGACACAGAATGACTGCTGGGAGTGGCTGGCTATCAGCCTAGGTCCAGTTCAGTTCAAGACCCTGTCTCAGGGGAATAAGATGGAAATGACACAGCAGGACAGGACACCCAGTGTCCTCCTCTGGCCATTGTGAGTGCCAAGATTTTACACACACACACACACACACACACACACACACACACACACACACACACACACACAGAGAGAGAGAGAGAGAGAGAGAGAGAGAGAGAGAGAGAGTTCTTTCAGCACGTTTGAAATTTTTCTTTAAAATAGCATGCATCAATTTCACCAGCCTGGAACACTGGTTAACCAAACTCACTAAAGCTGCTACAACTGTTCTGATTTGTACGTCATGTCACAAAAGTTCTAAACATAACCTCTACTCTTCTTATGCATGAGACTATTTATAGTTCCTCCAGCAGACACTGGTACATCTGTCTTTATTTATGTTTCTAGTTGTTTCATTATTTAACTTTTAAAATAATATGACTATTATGACTTACACGTATATTTAACTTATCCATAAGCATATCTAAACATATATATTTAACATATACATAGAAACAATTCAATATTTGGTCTCATGTACAAAGTATATATCGGCCATTTCCCACAGTCAAGAGGTTCACATCTTACAGAAAATAATACATAATTATGTTTAAAAAAAAACCCAAACCTTCAGCAAATGTGGCTTTGAAGTGAATTTTGTATGTGTAAAAACCTCATTTTTCCCCAGGATCCCTGACTTTACAAAGGAAACTGGATGCCACCATCTCTTTGGATGAAAGGTTTTTCTGTACATTTGAGAGTCTAAAAGAGTTAAAAGTAGAAACATCAACACTTTCCCAGAATCTGTGTGACTGAGCCCACTACTGTCAACAAAGAAACTCTAAGCCCTCAGGAACAGTCCTTCCTTACCCCAAGGCTGGAAGTAACTCAAAGTGATAGGGAGCCTCTGGGGCTTCAGTGCAGAGAGTGAGTAAGACTCCCTTGACTTCAAGTTCATATGTTAAAAGTCAATGTTTTCTTGGAAACATCTTACTGAATAATACTCTTTAATGAAAAAGAAAATGGTCTCTGTTAAGATCCAAGGGGCAGATCCAGGAAGAACTGAATGACTGTCACAGAAACCACACAGCTCCCGATTCCTGTGCTGTATTAGTCTTCCTTCTCCCTGATGCCACACAGCTGCCCAGAACTACTGCCCCCACCCCTGAAAGAGCCATGCAAGATTCAAAAGGAACGAAACTACTCGTGCACTACGTGCAAAGAAAACAAACAAACAAATCACAATATCACCTCATCATGTGACCAGTGGATTTGTGGGCTTGTGTGTTGGACAGTGCCTGTAGCTGTCCTCGGCTCACTGGGCCGTGGACGGCAAACTGGACATTCCTTCCAGGCTAATGAATACTACATACAGAAGTGTGAAAAGAGTCAAGGGGTTGGAAAGACTCCAGTCAACAGCTTCCAATGACAGAGTAGATACTCTTGAACCCTAAAAGTTAGACATCTTTGTTCTAGCACACTTAGTTCTACTATGTGCCTGGAAACAACCAAAAATTATCATTTGAAAGAAATGGAAAATGTCTTTTAAAAGTCAATGCTTTGGAATTAAGAGTCACATAGTTTTTTAATCCATAACAAGAATAGTGAGAGTTTTAAAGACACCCTGCAAAAAGGCATTACTGTGTTTTATTCTTCATTCCAGATATTACTGGGTTTATTTGTCTTTTATATCAGGACAAAACATTCTTTTCTGGTCCTTGCCAGGATTCCCTGTTTTTCTGTCTGTATGTCTGGGCTTAGCATGCTGGAATTTTCAGAATTTACACACATCCTTAAGGCCAGCATCTAGTGCTCTTGAAAATAAAGATGAACTTATAAGCCACAGTATTAATTTGCATTATAAATTTAACACATACTAAAGATTAGTGGCCAATATTCTCTTATTCTTTATACCATTTCTTACTGGTGTTTCTCTCTTTGCTGTATAGCAGGCACTCAATAAATAAAAGTAGCATAATCCATAACTTGAAAAGGTAAAAGCTGTGACAATAGACAGAAAGAAACAAACCTATGAAAGTGACAGCAATATAGAAAAAGAAGGCTATTCCATTTCATAAAATAACGTGCCTCTAACACACAATATAAAACAGAGAAGCTAGAGTGCACACAGAGAAACATAAATTTAGTTTCTTATTAAGCCAAATTCCTTAATAGGAATGCTTAAAGCTTTTTTATTGCAGATATAATCTTATTCTCATGAGGTAGCTGATGCCTCTAATCTCTGCACATGGGACGCTGAGGCAGGAGGACCATAAGATAGAGGCAAACTTGGAATACATAGTGCATTAGGAGACGGCCATAATTATAGAGCAATGCCTGCTTTGACTGAAAGTATATCTGAATAAAAGGGACAAAGTTGAGTAACTGTCTTTATCAGATTCATCTGTGGGCATGTCTGTGTGGGATTTATCCAGATTACGAATTGATGCAGGAGGGCTTATCCCACTGTGGGTGGCACCATCCCTAGGCATGCGGTTCTGTGCGGTGTAATGAAGCTACCCAAGCTCTAGCCTGTGAAGAAGGAGAGAGCCAGGAATCAGCCTTCTCCATGATTTCTGCTTCAAGTTCCTCCTAGACTTCCTGCCTTGACTCCCCCAGTGATGTATTATGGCTAGAAAGCATAAGCAAATCAGCTCTTTCCTCCACAAGCTTTTTTTGGTCAGTGTTTTAACACAGCAGGAGAAGGGAGACTAGAACACATAATATCCAACATAACATGCATGTATATCCTCAAGTTAAATATACAATGTGAAAGTCAAACAATGTCCAGTCTGATACAGTGTTTTATATGAGCATCTCTTCAGCTTTCACTAATGTTTTATTTCCATATATTTTTGCTTTACTGTTAAGAATAAAATATTTCCAAATAAAGGGTGATAAAAATAGTTTCTGAAGAATATCCTAATGTGCATGCTTTAAAAATGAAAGGTGGGTTTCAGTTCAGAGACTTCTGACTGCTGTGAAAGTTTGACAATCCAGAGACCAGCACTGAGCTCTGGGGATGAGCTATACTTTCAACCTCCTGCAGGCAGAAGCGAGCCTTTAGTACAATTCAACGCTACAATGCAGACTGCACCAAACACAACACTTAGTGAGGGCCCTCCATGTGGGTTTCATTTGTATTGAGGCAGCTATCTGAAAGCACAGTATGAAATGATTCCACTCGCCTTTCATGTTTGAAGAAGCAATTTCTCTTTATAAGGAAAACCATGCAAATTCTCAATACAGTACCTAAGAAGCAGTGTGCCCTGTCAGGGAAATGCCTGGAGATGAATTTCAAATGTACCATCACACTCAAGCCCAGCCCTAAAGAAATACTGGCATCTCGGCCTATCTAGAGTGTTCACAGGGGCAGGTTACATATATGTCTGTGTATATGTATAGATACATTTATATGTGTGAGAGCATACACATCTGTACATGTGCACATGGGACTGCAGCATCTATATAAACTCACAAGGAGTCAATCCCAACTTCAGAAGCAGAGGACCATGACAACCCCAGCTGCCGCTGGAAACAAGAAGGTGAAAGAGAAATACACCTTATTGAATTGTATCTCCAACAATCCACAGCCAAGTTCTTACCAATCCCCAAACAACTAATTTCTAATTTCTCAAATTGGAGAATAATTTTTTTTTGGGGGGAGGATCTTTATATTCTGATAAACAGAAAGACAGAGGTTGGCAACAAATTCTTCTTCTCAGGCGGCAGGAGCATATGTGACACTGAAGGTCACATGAGACCTTCGCCCAGCTCCTGCCGCTGCTCCCACTTCACTGAAGACCCCTCTGAACCCATTCAGAGGGCTACACCCATAAACACCCAAAGTTGTTCTTATAGTAGTTCTTTATGTGTTATTTCTGGGTGTTGATCCATAGGAGAAACCAGGGGTCCATTCTATGTGTCTACATTTCATATCACACAAACATTGCAAAACCCAAGAAAAGCCAACCTTTTCATCCTCAGCCAATAACAAGAAGGCAAAGGCAATGTCGTGTCACTGAGAGTACCAAGAGAAGACCGGGTTATAAAACCTTTTTAGACATCTCAGAGTAAATAAACATGGTTTTACCCACCTGGGGTCTTTCTGAATGCTGTCAATGGATGGGGACCTGGCCAAGGTGCCTTCGGGTGGGAGGGCAGGGCCAGATTTGCTGTACGGAGAGTCAACGGAGGGGCAATACTGCAGCTGTCGGTAAGGGTCGGCGTAGTTGGAGGCTGGGCCAGCGGCGTAGCTGGCCCTCTGGAAGGTGGCTGCGGCGGCGGCGGCATTCTGCGGCCCGTGCTGGCTGCCTGTGCGCTGCAAGGGGACGGAGTCGACACCGGGGGAAGATGGGGCTAGGACAGGAAAGGAGGGACAGAGTAAAAAACTGAGGACCTGCTCGCAGAGACGGTTAACCAGGTCTAGGCAGGGGGGAGCATTACACACATAAAAAAAAAATAGGGGTTCGAAAGAATAAAACAAAATTAATCCGTCACAGATGACCCAACACAGTCCATGCTATCTAATCAAATGACAATTCACATGCTGTTTCAGAGGTAAGCCGAAAATGGGGGGGTGGGGCGGGGAAGCACACCTACAGGGGGTTCATTGCTAACCAACATCAAAGGGAGGCACACACACATCCAACATGTGAACATTTTTCACAACTAAAACCTAGGCTGGAGTGTGGCTCTGGCAGAAGGCCCTGGGTTTGATCTCCAGCACGGGTTAAAAAAAAAAATCTCAGAGGAAAATATTTAATAAGGAAGCACAGACAATTAGTTCTTTATTGTCCTAGTTGAGAACATTCAAGATGTGTTCAGATTAACATTATGTTAACTTTATTGAGTTTGTAATAAATTTAGCAGCAAGGCCATTTTCCAGAATAGAGGGAAGGGAAGGGAGAGTGTATGCCTGGGGATGGATGTCGAGTGAAGAGGACTCAGTATATGTAATTAGTACCATAGCATCCCATGCCCGGCTGTTCTGCTTTCTGTAAAGTAAATCCCTAAAGATTTCATGTCCCTTTTTCTCAGTAAAGCTTTTACAGGAACAAATGCACTTGGGAGACAGTAGACCTGTCGGGGAAGGAAAAGGCCATCCCAGTAGCAAGGCAGAGTGAGGAGTTGACGTGGCTATCCCCAAAGTCTTTGCATCTTCTCAACATGTCTAGGCTGCTTTGAGAAGACTTCACACAAGTTACTAAAATCAGTGTCAATGTTTCTAAACTGAATCTTGATTTTTGTTTCTTTTCTGAGGTCTTTTTAGATGATGCCAGGCCACTGTTTTTATCTGTCTCTCAAAAGTATTCACGTCTAATGTCAAATTGACATATAAAATGGAAATAGCATCCTTCTTATGAGTGGGAGGTGACTAGTTATTTACTGTCCTAGCAACAATCACTATAAGGACATTTGCTTTGTGACATCTTAGATCAGTAGAGATGCTGAGTTACAGCAAATGTCTACATACTGGAACCTGTACCCCATGTACACTATATGGAATTAGATTCCCATTTCAAGTCACACAGCACAATTTTGACTTCCTAGCAACTATTTCTTACAAATTATCATTTCATAAGGGCCATATGCCAAATGAAACATAAAGGTAATGATGACACATCAAGGAAACAATTTGCTTAGAGTGTGTAAGGAATTCTCTCAAAACAATAAAAGCTGAAAGTAAACTGGAGGAGAGATTCCCCTGATGAGGTCAGGATTTGAACTTACGAGTTCAGGATTTTACTTTTCCAATTAACTTTCAATACTTTGATCATATGATGGGCAAAAAATTAGGAGAACAGGCTAACTGACACAACGAAAACTATTGAAATATTTATGAAAAATCTAAGAAAAAGTGCCTGTATTTCCTAAGAGGGATTTTAAAGATTGGTGGTACTGTGTTATACAGATTTTCTTTTTTCATTGTATTTGACTGCAAGTGTGGCAAGTGCGCCTTCTCAGCCATCATAAAGAAATAAAGGTAATAAAAAAATTAACGTATCATGAACAATACACTTTATACAATAATCAAAGCAGTTTAAAACTTAGAGAACAACACAGACACAAATAAAATCTCATTGTGCCCAAGAGTTGTGTTAAGCAGTCAGAAAATGAAGGGCAAAAGGAGAGACTCGGTGCACTGCCTCATTTTCACAGAAGCACATTCTTCATTCAGGAAACCAAACATCAGTGTTTATTCTTGCTGAAAATTGTTTACAGGCAAAAATAAATTCTCTCCTAAAAATGTGTTTGCTGTTAATCCCGTGATTCACACAAGAAGGCACAAGTAGTGGAGACCAAGAAATAATATTAAAACGGAATGAAACCATTTTGGAGGCTGGGAAAAGATCAGTTGGTCGAACGCTAGCCGTGGAAGTAGGAGAATCTGAGTTCGATCCCCAGTACCCACGAGACAAAACTGGAGACAGGAGGTGGGTGTTTGCCATCCCCGTGCTGGGAAGGTAGGCAGAGGATCCCTGGGCAGCCCTGGGCAGCCAGTCTAGACTAATCTGGGAGCTCTAGACCTTGTCTCAAAGGAGAAGGACACATCAGCTTGTTTTCCATACTCTACATGCACCTTCTCACATACCAAACACACATGACTTCCTGCACACACATGAGCACATACATATACACTCATATATCACACACCTACATCTTTAAAACAACACTTATTGACTAATGCTAGGATAGGGAAGATGAATGAAATGACTGTCTCCCACTCTGTCTAAATTAAAGCAGAAAAGGGGAGGGCTGAGGAAAAACACTGGTGAGCAGCAGACCCAAACTCGGGAAGAATGCCAGGGAACAGGCTCACAATGTGCGGCAGCGTGAAGTTCTATCAAGGTAAAACCTAGACGTGTAAGGAAGGAGTGGTGGAGAAGGCTGAGTCGCTATTTGGTGTGGAGTCTTGCTTAGACTGATTTTATTATTTTGTGTATATGAATGTTTCGCCTGCATGTATGTCTGGGCACTACATGTGTGCCTGGTTCCTGCAGGAGGAACAAGTACGTGCTCTTAACCACTGGGTCAACTCTCCGGCCCCCTGTTTGATGTCTGCTGTGCTCTTTTCCAGGGAAGGACCATGCAGCTCACTGAGTGCTTAGCTTCAGAAGTCTGATCTGGACTCCAGCTCTAGCCCTCAGTCTTGGACAAGGTGATTAGTTTCTCCAAGATGAAACATTGGGAGCTATGAAAGGGAGCAAGGTGGCCTCCTGGGATTATTGTTTTGAGTGGGAAGAGCATCCAATTAGTAACATAGAGAAAATGTTACACTAATGAGTCATCACTCCACTATTAAATCTGAAATCTACAACACTACACAAAGGAACTATGTATGGGGCCTGGGGGGAGGGGGGGTCTTTGCCCTGGACAATAGAATGTTCACATTTCCTCAACAACCTGTTAGAAGGGAAACATGCCAGTTTTCCCTTACAGATGGGAAACTGAGACATGGAAAGATAAAGTCCCCTGATAGGCCAGTCTCTGATAGAAAAAGAATTTAAGCCTCTGTAGGTAGACTCCAGATGTTATCGTTATTACCAACATAAGCTTCTAGACTGGACTTAGAATCTCAAAGACAAATATTTGTGAGTTACTGAGTACAATGAGTGAATTTTAAATAATTTTAAATAAGCTAGAATGTCAACTAAAGGTAGAGAGGGAAACATGGATTACCACAGGAATCAAACACCAAACTATCACACTAGAAAATTATCATAGATGTGTAAACTAGTTATCATTGGTGTGTAAACTAATTTATATTATTTTTATAAAATTGAATTTATGTAGATATATAGGAAAGATATATAAAAATATTTCAAAAACCTGACTTGTTTCACTTACAGAAGACAAAAAGTAAGAGTGCATGGAATAGTCTTAATTTTAAAGTATCTTGACTCTGTGTCTCGCCGCTGATGTAACTACGTCAGGCTATGAGGATGAGGGCTATGAAATTTTAGATGGATGAGCAACTTTCCAAAAGTTATTTTTTTTAAATCACAATAATTTTGACTTTGATGAATTTGCTCTTCAAAAGTATCATCCATTATCATGGGGGGGGGGGCGTGAAGAGAGGGAGAGACGGAGAGTTTGTGTGTGAATATGTTTACATGTACATATGCATGCATGTATGCAGATATAGCCTGGGGAGGTGAGCATGTTAGTAAACATGCATGAGAAGGCCAGAGGTCAACCTTCAGTGTCTTCCTTCAGGAAGGGGCACGTTAGCTTTCCATTTTTTGACAGGGATCACTCACAGGATGTAGGGATCATTGATTCCGCTAGGTTGTCTGGTTACTAAGCTTCTGGGATCCCTCTTTCTCAGACTCCCTAGTGCTCAGACAGCAGATAGACAACTCCACAACCAGCTTTTTTCCATGGGATACTGGGGAATGACCAAGCTGGACAGCAAGCATTCTACCTGCTGAGCTACCTGGTCAGACCTTGATAAATACTTAAATCTCTGTGTAGGTCCCAGTGAGAAAGGCAGTTTTTGAGAATTTCAAGATAGAAAATCATGGTTCAAATTTATGCTGTTAAATTACAATGCCCCAGCCATGAGAATAAAGTATCTACCATACAAAGAGGGCAACAACAGCTTGGTAAAGTAAAGAACAGACCCTGTGACCACAGAGAACAAAATATGTGAGAAGCCATAGCCCCAGCAATGCAAAGAAGGAATTCCTTATATTTAGGGTAAAGCTATCCCATGGGATCATGGAATCACAGTTTGTTTTAGGTATCTGGTACACAGAAAACATTGCATGAATGGGTAGTTAGGGTAGCATTAGAAAGACTGAAACTGATTGGGGATAGCGATGACCATCTCTCTCCTTAGCACTCAGAAGGCTGAGGCAGGAGGATTGTGAGTTCAAGCCCATACTGATCTACTCTGAGAAGACATTCTGGGCTACATAGCAAAAACCTTGATTTAGAAAAATATCAATGTCACAACTGCTATTTTCTAGGACTGTATGGACGACAGTGAGGAAGGCAGTGTAAGAGTCGGGGCTCACTACAGCCCTCTGACTTGCTGAGCTCTTTAGCTCTTGGTATATCTTATACAAATCAAGCCTGTTAACATGGATAAACAACTGCCATTCCTCTATGAGAAGTCTTTCATTTAATACACCTTCCCCTTAATCTCTGCCACTAAACATTTTTTCTCCTGTATGAGTTCCAGAGCTCCATTGACCTTGCAGCTTACTCCACCCAACCAAATGTCCTCCTGGCAAACATTTGGCGGGGCTGGTGCTTCATCAGCTCTGCAAACGTGTTCCTTTCCTCTCACCTCCTCTGCAAACAGCCGCTTCTCTTCCCACGAGCTCTTAGAACTCAATGGACTATGCCGC